TCCCCTCCGCCGGCGGAGACTTTTCCCACAGCCCTCACTACCCCAACCCGCCGGAGTTGGTGAATCCCGACGCCGCTACGCTCAGGGAGCAATGGCGGTTCGCGATCAGGCAGTACAGCAAGTGGTACTCCCACGCTTGGGGCACAGCTATACTGGCCGGCCTTTCGTTCTTCGCTCTCGGCTGGGCTATCAAAGGATCCAATCCTCTGCCTTCCTTCAAATCCAACGATGCGAATGAATCTTCACAGTCCGGTGGTAGTGGTGATGAAGATAAAGCTGCGACTGAGGTCCCTCGACCGAGTTGATTGTGGTGAGGTTGTTTTTGAAATTCCTTTGCTCCATTTTATCTACTTAGTTTTGTGGTTAGCTGTGTTTATGTAATTGATGATGAGAAATGTGTTATCAGCATTTATATCCCTGTTTTGGTTTGTGCAATGTGAAGTAAATCTTGGGCAAGGTTTGGAATTTACACTTAGCTAAGCCAATTGGCATTATTAACATGGGAGAATTTGTACCATCTCCATCTTCAAGACAGGATATGGGTAGATATAGGCCAAATCATCATCTCTTGTATATTCATCTATGGGTATGACAATGTTTATCAAGCAGACATGTAAATGGATGAATAGCAAAGATAAGTTCTGGAGGCTGTTGTCGCCATTTTTATAGTCTTTCAGTTTATGGTGCTTCAATAAAATAGGAAGTTGTGGTACCAACTGTGGACTCAGGTACGATTATGTAAAGATACTTATACCATGAGGATGTTTAATATTATTTTGCAGTATGAACTTGTTTTAGTTTAATTTGGTATATATAGAATGATATTCGAGCATTTGTAGGTGGAAAATCAAAAGAAGTATGTGGTAAAGGCAAAATTAGGCAGTCCAAATCTTATATTTACTGGTTGAAAAGTGACTTTGAACTCATCAGTTTTTCATTTTGCTGCAGGTGATGTAACTCCATGGGCGCATAATGTTCTTTTTTGGCCACTCACATATCGAGTTGAGTAAAAAGAGCGGGAGCAGAGAAATTAGGAAAACTTTGTTGTTGAATGTTGTTGGTGATGAAAAGCTTTCAGGTAAGAGTATTGGCATAAGATAACTTTGTGTAAAAGGTTGCTGTATAATGCCTTCTAAATGTGAGAAGTGATTGATTACTTTTGTATCAAAATGATTTATGAGTCTTGCCTTTGACTTCTGTTTTTCTGTTTTCTGTAACCTCTGATTTTCATTTTGCTTTTATTTTACCTGTAGTTAACGAAACATGGACTTTAATGGCATTTTTCTAGGTTAATCCTTAACCTGCTAAAAGTGTTTCTTTATGCACTAAGCTGATGCTAGTCATTCTGGTTTTAGGTTTCTGCATTTATAGTTGAATGCACCAAGAGGTATGTATTCTTGGTCAGTAGGTGAGCTGAGAAATGTTGATAGTCCAAGTCCGCGTTATTCGGGTCTTGGGCTGTAATCAGTCATATATAAATTGTATGGGCCGTCTGAGTTTAGGTAGGCGGGTTAGTAAGATATAGATTTAACCCATGCAATCTGGCCCAACAACTATAGAAAAACAAGATTATCTCTATATTTTCCTTTAGGAGCCAAGTTTAATACTTTGCCTCGAGTAAAATTATGATGTACGGAAAGACCTTATATTTTTTAACGAGTACTCTACCGCGGACGGATTTTGGTTTTTTACCTTAGGGGACAATTGCACCCCTCGTTTTCTTTTACTGTTAGTTATATAGAACTAGTACGGTGCCCGTGCGATGCACGGGAGCATTTATTATATATATATTTTAAAAAATATTTTTGTATTTAAATTGTCTCATGCCATTAAAAATTTCATGAAAATAAAATTTATATGTTATTAAACACTTCCTTATGTACAACATTATTTATTTGATTCTTTGGCACGTAAAGTACTACATACGTGTTCGAATTTATCCAAAATTGCATATTATTAGTTATTAGTTCACAAATTTTAAAAAAATTAAATGATCTTATTTATTGAACAAAATTAAAGTAGAAAAAAAAATAATTTTTTTTAGGAATTTTCATCCATTATTTATTTTAAATCTAATTCTAAATTTCAATTAAGAAAAATTAAAAAGAATCATTAGTTAGTCCCGAAAATGAAATCGATTTTCTTACCAATAAACCGATTTTTTTTATCAAACAAATTGATCCGATTTTTTTTAAACCAAACAAAAAAAATCATCAATTTTTTCTAAAAATGCAACCAAATTTTTCTAACATTGCACCAATTTTTGTACCAAACAAATTGAATTGAAAATAATTCTAATAAAAAATTGAAATAAATTGTTAATGTTTATGCAACTGTCTCTTTCCTACAGAAAATGATATGAACTTAACCAAAAAAAAATAAAAATGATATGAACTTACCAAAATCTCGGTAAAACATGGTTAAGAAAAAAACATAAGAATCCAAAAAAATCGATGCATTTAAATTTTGAAAAGTTGCAAATAATTTTTCCTAAATAATTGGATAAGGTGATTTTAAATATCAATGATGAACCGCTTTTGTTACCAAAAAATGTGAACACAATTTTAAATGTACATCCCGTCCAAATATCAGTTTTATTTAAAATAAAAAATGCATGTAGCTTTATCCAATTTACACAATTTTTTTGAAAGAAAAAATTATTCAATAAGATTGAAAGAATTGGTTAAAAATTATACAACTATTTGCTTCCTAAATTTGTATCCAATTTCTAAGGTTTATATATTAATTTGTATTTAGAATTGTTTTAAATAATAATTGACACATTGTTTGCATAAGAATCTCCAAATTTATTACCAAAAAATATATGATTTAAATTTTGGTAAAAAAAATAAAATATGATACGATAAATATGGGATTCAAATTTTGCGATAAGAATCTCCAATTTTGTTACCAAAAAAATAGGAATTAGATTTTGTTACTAAAGATCCAAGCTTTTTTGAACTTTCTATTAATAGTAAGTCAAACATTATATTTATTTGGTCAAACTTTCTATTAATGTATTTTTCTAACAACCTCTTTATATATATATATAGATATAGATATAGATATAGATATTAATTTGTCCCTCTTTTTCTTTTATAATTTTTTTTCCACTCCATTAACAAAAAAAGGTTCCAAATACAAAACGTAAAAATAAAACATAATAATGGCCTTACTCGTTGAAAATTGGACAAATAATAATAACTATAATAATATGAATAGTTATGCGACATGTTTTCGCGTGCTTTACGACTTGTATATCAAAATCTATCGCATAATTTACCATATGCGGGAAATTTTCGTATATTCGAGAATCGAATCCAAATTCACCATCGCATATTTTATGTTATGCGACATGTTTTCGCTAGTTTACGTCTCGCATATCCATATCCATCGCTTAATTTACCATATGTGATCATATTCAGAAACCCCACAACGAAATGGAATGCCGCATACTTTATGTTGTGCGATAAATGTTCGCATAGTTTACTAGTCGCATATCTAGACATATATCGTCGAATAATTAACGATTATCCGTAATATGTTCGCATATTTAAGAATCGTACATCCAAGGCTAAAGTCGTATAATTTAATACTCTATGTCATTTTATTCGCATAGTTTATGCACCACATTGATTGTCTGATTTTTCGCGTAAAACACTTAGACAAATGATCTGTATATATACCACCATTATTATTACTTATTAATTACTAACTTTTACTTCTCGAAATCGAAAATAAATAAAAAAAATTAGCAAGAGTAAAATCCTTTATATTCCGATCGCAGCTAAATAAAAATAAACTAAGCATGCTTGCAGAAAAAAAATGGATAGAATTTCACGCTAGGACAGCTCATTCGGTCGAAACCGAAACGAACCCTTTGTCCATTATCATAACCGAAAATCAAATTTACGATTCGATTCGGTTTTTAACTGAAAAACCAGCGGTCTGCTCGGTTCGGTTTTCGGTTAATTGCAATAAATAATTAATCTTCTCAATAAATTCTAAATTTTTAACCGAAAAAAAATTTGATGTTTTATCCGAACCAAAAAATATTGATTTTTTTATTACCTTGTTTAATCTTCTCAATAAATTTTAAATTCTCCTCGATGGAAGATCTTGGACCCGAATCGTGACTGCACTATGACAAACTCAATCTTGAGTGCAAATTAATGCTTGAGCCATTTTAGGGGTCATTGAAGCTTGAAAATCATAAATTATTGAAGCAAATTAATGTCTTTATAACTTATATGTATAAATAAAAAACCTGTATAAATCGGTTTTCGGTTTATATATATATATATAAAAAATTAGTTTTCGGTTCGGTTCGGTTCAATTAACCGGTCACAAGTATCCAAACCGAACCGAAAACCGGAATTTTAAGAAAATGTAAACCGAAAACCAAACCAAATATTCAGTTTCGGTTTTGGTCCAAACCGAAATGTCGGTTCGACTCAGTTAACCGAACTTTGTGCACCCCTATTTCATGCAATAAGCATATCGCGATCCGCTTCTATGGTGTGGAGTGGACCGAGAGCTACAGCTGAAAATTTTTGAGTCGCAGAGAGAGCAAAATTCTTTAGATCCACCTATATATATATTACAAGTATATAATATATCGAGTAAATAGAGCCACATATAATTCTCATTATTCGCTAACGGCTGTAGTTTCATAGGTGCAAAGATACGCACCTGTAGATGATTAAATGGGACTACATGATTAAACGGGGCTACTAAAAAGCCGTGATCAAACAGTTGATAATATTGTATAGGATAAGGTCAACAGAAACTAGTCTGCAGCAAGTAATCTTAATGCCTATAAATTAGATTCTTCTTTTTTATTCTGGATTGACAACACACTGCATATATCTTTCAACAGTAGCCTTGATGTATTGTACATACAAATATGCTGTTATACCAACCCGAATAATAAAAATAATAATTGTAAAAAAAAAAGATAAATCATTTTTGAGATGTCAAATAAACAAGGAAATTAAGTACACAAACCTTTCTTCCACAACATAAATGTTCATATTTATAATAACATCAAACATCATCACATCCCTCAGCCCTACTAAAATCTAGAAGTTTCCAAAGGATAAAAAGTAGAGATTTGATCCAAACATCCATTACAATTGCCAGGGGCAATATAATAACATTAAAACACTAAAAGCTTAACAAAAGTTGAACAAAAACTAGAAAAAGTAGTCCTACTCATCTTCCCAAATTCTTCTAAATCTGTATAACACACACCATTAAAAAAAACACAAGATTTTAATCAGTCAGTGTACATATTAGAGGTAAAACATAAAAAATGTAGAGAATGAATTTTTACCAACTCGATTGTCCTCACGTCATCGGGCAAAGGCGTGAAGTTGGGTCGGAGAAGATAATAAAACGCGCCGTGCTGCAGTGGATAGATTGTGATCCCCCAATCATTGGTCAACACGGGTTGACCGGACGAGTGTATAAGCACCGCATCATCGCCAAACGATTCCCTAACGTTAAATGGGCCTGAGCCCACCTCGAAGCAGACATCGTTAATGAACACCGTGGACTTTGTGGGGCCCACGCACGAACCCGATTCACCATCCACACCTACACACCAATCACCAACTCAAGTCACATCACAATTAATCATTCATTTTTAATTAATTAATTAATTTTCTATTTTTTATTTTATTTTTTTATTTTTTTGAGGGAGAAGGGGATTAATGTTGTAACTTGGCTAGGCTATAGTCAATCCATGCAGACGTTGGGAGGGACAAAGAACATGGATTGCGGGGCCAAAGACAAATTCATCCCAATTTTGTTCTTTTATTTTTAATTTTATTTTTTTGGCTTTGTATTATGACATATAAATGTCTACTCATAACGTATCAAGTGCCCATAAAAAGAGTCACTGTAGTGCGGGCAAAACAAACATCAGTCACATGATGATCACATCCTTTAGACTGTGACAATGCTCGGTCATGCCCAAATATGGAACCAACATTTACATATTTCTTCAATTTTTATTTTTCGATTAATTATTCCGCCAAAAAAAAATTAAATTAACTAAATCGTCTCTTCATCTTCTAAAAATTGTCTCTAAATGAAATTTGAGTCAAAATATGCCAAGCCATTCTGTGTTCTAGGGCTAATTCGAATTCTGAGTTGTCGGATCAACACATTTTCTTAAAAATGAATTAACAATTAAATGAATTATAGATGAAACATGACTGAAATTATTGGTTTACCAATTTCAATTTAGTAAAGTAATTTCAGGTGATTTAAAGGAAAAACCAAAACATAAAAAGGAAAAGGCCCTTCATCAATAAACCCTAATTTTTCATTCTTCGGACCAAAAAACAAATAAAAATAAAAATCTTGTGTTAGTGGAAATACCTTGAACAATTTGATAGTGAGGAGTGTAGATAGACGGAGGAAGAAAGTGGTGAGCCAGATTCTGTACAGCAGGTCCACCGTAACCAAACTGCTGCTCCATCCTCATCTTCTCATGCTCATCCTCGTCATCTCTAACCTTCGACGGGCAGCCGCTCATCAGCATCAGCTCACTCAGCAACAAATTCTGACACCCCCCGCCGGAACCCTGATCCGCCATCCCGCCGGAGACTCCCGCGCCGCCGGGAAAACAGAAACCCACCGCCGGAAAGACGAAGTTCTCCGGCAGGAACTCGCTCGGCGCCGCCTGACCGAAAGCCCGCTGGTTCACCGAGGCCGTCGGCGAGTTCAGGTAGTCCACCACGGCGGCCGCGGCCGCGGCCGCCGCCGTCGGCGTGGCGGTTCCGGCGGAGAGGGTCTTCTCGATGGAGCTGTTGGGGGAAGACGACTTACCGGAGGAGGACGAGGAGGAGTTGGCAGCCGCCGCCGCCGGCGGCGGCGGCGGCGGGCGGGGTTTTCCGGCGGCGGCCGGATGGAGGTGGCGGAGCTTGTGCTTGCTCCGGGATTTTCGGTTTTGGAACCAGTAGAAGACGTTAGCGTCTCCCACCTGGCCGTATTCTTGAAGCTGAACCCTAATTTTTCTGATCTCGTCTCTTGGAGGGTTTACCATGCCGGAGTTGAAGATGGTTTCGAGTATTCGGATTTGTTCCGGCCTAGGGTTCCATCTGGGTTTTGGCTCCGGAGTCCGATCTTCGCATCCCGGCCCTAGAAAAAAAAAAATAAAGAATTTAATCAATATTTTAGTAAATTGGAAGTTTAGGGTTTATTAATTTAATGGTACCTCTGCAAGTAGTGTGTGAGATGAGAGAAGGGTTAAGTTCGTGCTGCCATTGATGGTGATTGAGAGTTGAATTGCAGGTGGGTTTCGATTTGAACATGCTTGGCCAGTGCCTGTTTGAAGATCCCATGATGATGACGATTGTTGAAACTCAAGCTGTGAAAAAAGGGAAATTAAAAATTAAAAATTTAAATTAAAATTGAAGATTGCTTTTGAATGTATTCAGTACTTGAAAACGAAAGGTTTAATTAATTTTTTAGTAGTTTGTGTTTTTTCAGAGTGGTGACTGATGATGAATGAATGGCAAAAACACACAACTCCTCTTTATAGCACCTTTGCACGACGTCACCTACATTAATTTTTTTTATTTGGAAATAAATTAATTAAATATAAACAGTAACCCTAGCTAGCTTTTTCTTAATTTAAAATGAAAAGAAAAAAGAATGAAAGAGAAATGGAAAGGCTATGGGAAGAGAATAAAAAAGGACAAAACCCAAAACAAGAATCGCCTGCAAAGTTTGAGATGAAATTGGAAATGGAATTAAATGGAAAGTGAAAGGGAGATGGGGTACAGTACAAAGCCCATACCCTCAAATTTCGCTTTTATTTTACGAAATAAATTAAATTCATGGAGAGGCCATATTTTTCCCTGGATGAGAAGCAAATGAAAATATCGAGAGAAGCACATGCGGGCCTTATATTAGAATCTCATCATATATATTGGAATTAAATTAATTATTGCGTGAGACAGTTTAATAGTTAGGCATGTAGACTTATTGTACTATGTGAACAAAAATATATATATTTATATTATCAAATTTTTAATTTTTTCTGCTTTTGCTATTTTTAAAAATATAGAATTTTCTAATAAATATACACAATATGTATATTTTGGGGAAAGAAAATAATATATATCAACTTAAGTAAGCAAAAAAAGAAAAAAAACACAATTACAAAAGACATATATCGTGGTTCTACTGAATTATTCAATGGAAAAATGTGCTTTTATTTCTCATAAGAAAGTGAATAATAATTGATAGTAATTAGATTACATGTATTCGTAATAATATTATTGTAATACAAATTAAAAGAGGTTGATGCAACGTGGTAATAAATAAGGAAATAGTACTGAGTAAATGAATAAATAAATAAATGGGTGTTTTCAAAGTCAAAATGGTCACGTAGGGTTTTGAGAGGCGGTGGGCAACGATGAATTAGAAACTTTGANCAAAAAATATTTGTTTTTCTTAAAACTAATATTGAGGCCCAAATTTTTATGAGGTGTTTGCATGTTCCATTGTTCAGAAAATCAATGCCATTTAAAAAGTACACGACAATTTAATAAATTTATAATGTGACGTATAAAATTGATTCATATTTGAATCTAGTAGCAATTGAACAGTATTGTATTTAAATATGCATACTCACAATAACGTATAGTTATATAGTTGAATAAAAACATATATACTTGTATTTAAATATGCATACAGACAATAACGTAGTTATACAGCTGCATAAAAACATGCATACTCATATAATAATGTAGTTATATAGTCGAATAAAAAAGTAATAAGGATATATGTGATAAATAAGTAGGGGATTCTTGAAACAAAAATTATTTAAGACGATGTTTTGGGAGCTAAATCGACAAAGCTTGGCCAGTTGGCCTCATTGCGCTATATGTCATGGGAATAATTAGTTAAAATTGCAAGATATGTTGAATAATTATCGGGAATACAATAAGTCTATCCTGATCATGTGAGGAAATTGGTTCTTAACTTCTTATATAATCTAATTATGGTCACTATATTATTGTTTGACTATATTATATGCTTAATTATTTTATGGACCTTAATTTTAAATAAGGTAAAAGTTCGGTTAATATGAACTAATTGAGTAGATGACTAATACAATTAGAATTGGGTGATTATGAATGTACAACTTAAATAGTTATATAAAACCTCATGGTTATGATCCAATCATACTAAATTGAATCTATTCTATTCAACAATAATTAAAATGAAGACTTNTTGACTATGTTTTGATGCCGTGTTTGTGTTCGTGATTGAGTTGGAATTCATGAAGTTTTAGTCTATAGATTGACTTAAAATATCATACATGTTGAAATTTTAATCTCAATTGATCCAATTCCATTAATACACTACAAGAAAATAATGAAATTCGAACGAAAATATATTGCAATAGAATTCCAACGGCAATTCCAATAGATATTTCAATGTTATTATTTCCGTTGGAATAATTATATTCCAACGGAAATTCCAACAAAAATATTCCGTTGGAATGAGTTTTCCATTGGAATTTCCGTTGGATTTTGACGATTCCAACGGTAGATTTTCCAACGGTTGTGGAAATAAAAGTTCCAATAGAAATTCTTACGGTGAAAGGCCGTTGAAAATATAGCCGTTAAAATCGTAAAATTATATCTAAAATTTTAATGAAAAATACATTCCAACGGAATATTGTCGTTGGAAATTTCCGTTGGAATAATTCCAACGGAAGCTATACCATTGGAATATCCGTTGGAATTTCTGTTCAAATATATTACCATAAGATTTTTCTGTTAGAATATAACAATTATTTTGTAGTGATATTTGATAACTGTAATATTTATTCTTTTTTCTTTCTTTGAAATTATTCATGATTGAATTGATATTATGTAAAATGAATCCCTATAACTAATTATAGAAAATATCCCCCAACTCACGTCACCACGTGGAATGTTTATGATCTAATTAGCTTGTGTATATACTTTTTATGATAGCGAAAATTAATCAATGATCAAATTTGCAATATGCCCGAAATTACTGGTTGTGTTTTACAGTTGGTTAATAACTTGTTTTTTGCGTAATAATTTTATGCATATGTAATCACTAATTAACACTAATAAATCGTAAAGTGTTTCCCATTTATTTATTCAAACCCTTTCATAAATACTATTTAATACTCCATAACTATCGAATTTGAACGTATTAATTGCAGTTTTTGACTCCAGGGGGTGGTGCGCATTGATAGAGGCAAAATAGTTTCAACAGATGGAAAATTGGAAGGGCGCTGTTGTACGTACTTAGATTTCTCATCAATGATTTCATTATCCAATAATATAGACTGGATATTCACAATTTTTATGTTACATCTCAATGTGTGTGCGATTGTAAGTAGTTTTCATACTTTTGTAACTTGTTTGCAACTCCCCATGAAAGTGGAGGCTGTTAAGGAGAGTAATTGTTTGGTCTATTAGCTGTCCCTCTGATTCCGACATGCAAATTAAACCCAAATTCAGTGCTCAACGTTTTTTAGATTTTTATAAGTCGAAACTGCATAGTATGAACATGAGTTTGGAGATAATTTAAAAAATATTTTTTGTGTGTGTAATATATAAAAGCTTTGGTAGTAATATATGCAAGCATGGTATTTATGTGGCCCGTGCGATGCACGGGTAAATAATATTAAATAATAATTATAAATTGAAGATATAGGTAAATAATATGTATTCGTTTAGGATTTTGAGTGCCACTTTGAGATTTTTTAAGATTTGAGACTTTTAAGATGGTCAAATTTTAGAGGAATACTATGAAATCTTAAGTGTGAATGTGAGATTTTTAGAGTGAAATTTTGTATAATGTTTTTTTTTTTTTGTATAATTTTTTTTTCTTTTAAATCATAACTAATCTTAAAAAGACCTAACAAACCTTGATCTCAAATAAGTTAAAAGTTTAAGGATATTTTAAGATTTTTTTAATTTTTAAATATCAAAGATGAACCGCTTTTGTTACCAAAAAATGTGGACACAATTTTGAATGTACATCCCGTCCAAATATCAGTTTTATTCTAAAATAAAAATTGCACGTGGTTTTATCAAATTTACACACTTTTTTAAAGAAAAAATTATTCAATAAGATTGGAAGAATTGGTTAAGAATTATACAACTATTTGTTTCCGAAATTTGTATCTAATTTGTACGGTTTTTAAGTTAATTTGTATTTAGAATTGTTTTCATAAATAATTGACACATTTTTTTGCATAAGAATCTACAAACTTCGAACTTGTTACCAAAAAATATATGATTTAAATTTTGGCAAAAAAAAATAAATATGATACGAAAAAAATGGGATTCAAATTTTGCCATAAGAATCTCCAAATTAGTTACAAAAAAAAAAGGATTCAGATTTTGTTACTAAAGATTCACCTGTACTTTTTTGAACTTTCCATTAATAGTAAGTCAAACATTATATTTGTTTGATCAAACTTTCTATTAATGTATTTTTCCAACAACCTCTTTATATATATATAGATATAGATATAACATTTCCTTTATACGATTGTTGTAACATTGTACCCTAATGGCATGATTGGTAGTAAGGAATGACATGAGAATGGAATGATCATTCTCTTACACTACTAGAAAATGGTGCATCAGTAACCAAAATTTGTAACTAAATTTTAGTTGTTACAATAGTAACAATGATTTAGATACGGAATATACTTTCAGAAACGGAATGTACTTTAAACCATTGTATTTGTATTAGTAACTAATTCTGTGACTAACTCCCTTACAAATACATATAAATGGTTTCAATTTAAAGATTTAAAATTGTAGCATATTCTACATATATAACTATGTTCGTTTAATAATTGAACAAACTCCAGCTTGTTCGCAAACGTTCACTAAACATTAATTCTATACAATTTTTATTTATGTTTATATATATAATATTTTTTTTATAAAAACTCTAAAATATGATTTTTTTTTTTAATTTTTATATTCGAGCTTAAATGAGTTCGAATGAACATCTTGTGCTAATCAAATAATTGTAAAATATTTCATTGCCTGGTACGGGTCTTAAATCCTTCACCGGCCTAGCCCGCCCATGTCTGACCACCCCAGTCTCACCCTCTTTTTTGTTTATATTTATATTATATTAACATATATATAATTAAATAATAAGAGGAGTGGTATCTTTTTACCAAAAATTGAAAAATCGAACCGAACCTATGAGAAAATAAACAACAACATACCGATTAATTTATAACGGTAACCGATAATAATTTATTGAAAATCACTCAATTTGGTGTCAGTACTTCTCCATGAAGCTAGTTCGGTTAGAACTG